CCAATTCAGTCAAGTTTCAGCAAGCCGAACGGGGCATTTGTTGGAAATAAACACAGTGATTAGAAAGAAGCAATGCACAATTCCATCTACTTTCAATATTTTCAAGCATTTATTAGAAAAAAAAATCTAGTACAGTTGTGGTAGTCATGCATTCTTTTGAAAAAGAAAATGCGGAGTGCAAAATGTGCAATTCGGCTACATTATGCATCTTGACGTAAAAGAATTGAATTGTGTATCATATGCTTATCTGCACTTAATCTACATGAAGCACTGTAGGATGCAGCATGGTAGGCATGAGCATGAATGGATGCATATGGTGGCTGTTGCATGATTTTTCTGGCAAATATGTTGACCTATGGTCTGTGACTCCTTACAGCAGCTTGAACCAGTAAAATACCATCAACGGCGATATCAAGTTCTGTGAACTAATAGAACCGACTGAGTCTAATCTTTTGCCTAGGATCCTTGTGCTCGTCATTTCGTTTTATGGAGCCTTATCCTAAACTAAAGATGACAGCTGATTTTCCATTCCATTTTGTGTTGACGAACAGGTGAAATGAGCAGAAGCCTTGGTCGTGGCATGAACCGATGGACATATCAGGAGGGTTGCGAAGCACCCATATAGGCTAGGGTTTTGAATCTTCAAAGTTAGGAATCAGAGACGAAGGCGCCTAGCAATGGTGTGAAGTCCAGCGTGGTGAAGAAGATGATGTTGGTTAAGTTTGCTGCATCCCAAAAGACTATTTAGTATACATGCATGTTGCAAGCATATATTTTCAAGTGTTTTCAGATGTTTCATACGTTTGTTTGTAAGTGTTTTATCTCGATGTTGCATATATTTATAATAGTTTTTAAATTTTTTCAGGCATTTTCGCAAGTGTTTCAGACGCTTGTTTCAAGTATTTTATCTATCTTTTTTTTATGTTGCAATTATTACATCTAGATATTTTAAAAGTAGATCGAAATGTTGCATATATAATACGTGTGGAAAACGACCAGTGGCACGGGCGACATTCAGGACAGCGTGGGCCCATTGCTGGTGCACTCGCTTACGAGCACGACACGCCAGACACTCGCTTCTCGCTTCCTTCCTGGGCGGACACCGTCCGAACACTAGCGTCTAGACTGCGTTAGCAACTCTGGTATAATAATGGACGGACCCTTCGAAAGCCGTGGCCTCTTAGGGAATGGACGAATGGTCGCGTATTTGGTCAGGCGGTTTCGGGCTTTCGGCCTTCTGGACCGTTTGATGATTTGGGCAACTATATGGGTCTGAATGTAGCCCATTTAGACGCACCAGTATCGTAATATACAAAAATCTAAAAGCCCAAGCTGGGAAATCTGTTGAATGCCCGGTGCCGTCACCGGTCACCGTGCTCCGTCACGTCGTGCCATGGCTCATCCGCAGTGCTCCCGCGCTGCCCGCGCACCGCGCGCCCGCCGTGGTCGGGCGTCCGCTGCCCACTTGCGCGCTTCCCCGCTGCTCCCCCGCCGTACGTAAAATGGACCGACCTATCCACATCACCCCGGCGCCTCCCCCTCTTCCTCCTCCCTCACTGTCACCGCTGCCCCAATCGTCACTACCGGCAGCAGGACGGTTCACCCCGCGCGCGAGGGCGACGCCGCCGAGGGCGAGGGGTGCGTCCCGCCGGATCGGCACGGGGGCGACGCACGCGACGCCATGGACGAGAAGAAGGTGCGGGCTGGCACCGAAATCCCCCTCTTAATCGCGACTTGTTATTCGGTTAACGCGTATCCGGATTTGGACTGTGGATTTGATGGGCTCGGCCCCGTCGTCGTGGCGTGGCCAGGGCTCCGGGGAGGCGCCGTTCTTCACGGACTACGGCGAGGCCAGCAGGTACGAGGTCACTGAGGTGGTCGGCAAGGGCAGCTACGGCGTGGTCGCCGCCGCCCTCGACACCCTCACTGGCGAGCACGTCGCCATCAAGAAGATTAACGACGTCTTCGAGCACATCTCCGACGCCACCCGCATCCTCCGCGAGATCAAGCTGCTCCGCCTCCTGCGCCACCCGGACATCGTCCGGATCAAGCATATCATGCTCCCGCCATCGCGCCGCGAGTTCCGCGACATTTACGTCGTCTTCGAGCTCATGGAGTCCGACCTCCACCAGGTAATCAAGGCCAACGACGACCTCACGCCCGAGCACCACCAGTTCTTCCTGTACCAGCTGCTCCGCGGCATGAAGTACATCCACGCCGCCAATGTCTTCCACCGGGACCTCAAGCCCAAGAACATTCTCGCCAACGGCGACTGCAAGCTCAAGATTTGTGACTTTGGCCTTGCTCGGGTGTCTTTCAACGATACACCTTCAGCAATATTTTGGACGGTAACCAAATCACAAACCAGAGCACATATATTGTGAGATACGATAAGCAGCCACACAGTTTAAGTTGTTGTTCTTGATGTGTAATTTAATCACAGGATTATGTGGCAACAAGATGGTATCGTGCTCCAGAACTATGCGGCTCCTTCTTTTCAAAGGTCGGATAGTTTTCATCCTGACAAAACTTATACTAGCCCTTTATTCAGGAGAACCTTTATATGAATGTCAAGTTCATAAATGGAAGGTTCTCGTGTAGGAGTACAACACTTAATTTTGCTGAATTTACAACTTAACACTTAATTTTGCAGTATACTCCTGCGATTGATATCTGGAGCATAGGATGTATATTTGCTGAAATGCTTACAGGGAAGCCTCTCTTTCCTGGCAAGAATGTGGTACATCAATTGGATCTCATGACAGATCTACTTGGCACTCCTTCATCAGAGTCACTTTCCAGGGTCGGTTCACTTTCCCTGCTTCTAGTATAAGAAAATCAGTTACAGGCTTGGAGAGTTGGAGCCTTATCTTTTATTCAGAATCTCTCATAACAGAAAAAATAAGATTGCCTCATCTTAATGCTAAGAAAGTTATTGTTTTACCCCTGGCATTATATTGCAAACTAAGGTATACTAAGGTTGCGTGTGTAGATTCAGAGCTATAGCTCAATGCTGCTGAGGTATGGTTAGAGAACTGGATAATTTAGAGGTACAATTTGTACGAGGAATAGAATTGGTGGAATAGTCAATTATATTGCTGAGCCTCGTGGGCAGATTACATAAGAGTACATTGCTTAAGGGGCAAGAAGCCTCCCTTAGAGATAAGGCAAGCTGGGATTACACGATCCTAATCTACCACATTTAGAAATATCCTAATATACTCTAACATCCCCCCTCACAGTCATAACGGGAGCGGCATAGATGGTGAGACTGGAGAAGAAGCCCGCATTCGAAAGGAAATGTTGATCAATGACCAGCGAGAGAAAACCCCAATCAAAGGATCAGGAAAAGACTCCCAGGATGGCCAATCAACTTGATTGGCAACGCGAGCCCTAGGTGCAGGCGGTGCTGCCCCTGGCGGAGATCCTCATGGGCGATCTCCCTGGGGCACGTGTAAATGGAAGTTTTAGGGTTTGTGGTCTAGGATCTAAACCTAAACTCGTGATACCACGTAGGAGGAATAGAATTGTTGGAATAGTCAATTGCATTGCTAAGTCTCGTGGGCAGATTATATATGAGTACATTGATTAGGGGGCAAAAAGCCTCCCCTTTGAGATAAGGTAAATTGGGATTACATGATCATAATCTACCATATTTGGAGATACCCCAATATAATCTAACACAATTGGCTCATAGCGTAGTTATAACATTTAGAATTATCTGCACCTCGACCAGTTTGCTATTTTCGTCAACTGTAAAGGTTAAGCGCTTAGGTCATAACTGGCTGCATACAAGCATTTATGTTGGAACCACTGTGAAAGTATATATTGTTTATTCAGTTTCTCCAAGTTTGTATTGCATTGGTTATGAGGCTTTTTGACAATGCGGAAGCTTAATTAATTAGTTAATGATTTCCATACAATATAATAGTAAAGCTGTGAAAATTAGCAGAATAGGTATTACATGAACATAGTCACTTTCCTTTTAAATTGATAATTGACATGCAAGGCCATCTAAATTCCCATTTCATGTGAAGGACCAGGGTTTTTCTATTACTTTTCTGTCTAAATCATGTGATAATCAAGTTTTAATATGCAATGTTAATAATAGTTTTGTTGAAAAATCTGTAGTTCACGATGTGAAGTCCAAATCTTATATATTTGATTTCAACCATAGCATTGGCCATATCTTGATGAACTGAAAATAAACACCCTTGTATGTTGAGTTTGGGAAAAAATGTTTACACTCTAGAAGAAGAAGAAGAAGAAAATGCTAGAGATGTATCCATCTTCAAATGTAAGACCAAACCTGATTTACTAAACCAGCATAGACTTTCTGGAGGTCTCCATCTTCAACTGCAAAGGCCACACTTGAAATACTATGCCAGCATCCAAACTCTAGTTGAAGAGGACTTGAACCTGGATGGTTGGGTGCATCACCATATCTCCCACCCAACCAGTTGAGTTAGGCTTACCTCCTTGTTTCTTGGCTCCTATTTTGATGATAATATAAGTTATATAAGTGTGTTTCAGTTGATACATAGTGTGTTTTAATTTGTTAGCAATATACCCCCTCCATCTAGGAATGATAAACGTATTTTGATTGGGAAAATTCACATTTTACAAATTTTGACCAACAATTAGTCAAAATTATATGCAAGTTTAGGTCATAAAACTTGCTTCAATACATTTGTATTCAAAGTGCCTTTGAGATGGCGTTGATTCTTTAGCTATTGACAACCTATTGTAAGAGAAATTAAGGTTCAAAGTATACTTTGCATGACTTTTCTTTGATCAAAATATGCTTACCATTCTTGGATGAAGGGATTAATGTGTTCCTTTTGGTCCAACAATCATAGTGCAACCGTTTTTGCTACACTAAGCTATTTTCACCCTCTAATCGTTTGTAGATTCGAAATGAAAAGGCTCGCCGATACTTGGGTAACATGAGAAAAAAGCATCCAGTTCCTTTTACGCAGAAGTTTCCTGGTATAGATCCAATGGCTCTTCATTTGCTTGAACGTCTACTTGCTTTTGATCCGAAGGATCGACCAACTGCTGCAGAGGTAGTAGCAATGTCAGCAAGAAGCGGTAGTTTCAAAATGTTGTATTATTAGTTATGCTCAATACTGATATTACAATAGTGGAATTCAAGGCCTTAACAGATCCATACTTTACTGGATTAGCAAATTCTGAACGTGAACCGATAACACAACCAATCTCAAAATTTGAGTTTGAGTTTGAAAGAAGGAAGCTGGCCAGAGATGATGTTCGGGAATTAATTTACAGAGAGGTACTTTTAGTTAATTCTACTGTGGTTATTATGGTATTATGTTTACTAATTCATGATGTATCTGTTTAGACATTGGAATACCATCCTCAGATGTTGCAGGAGTTTCTTGGTGGTGGGGATAAGGCGAACTTTGTGTACCCGAGGTGTGCATGTTGTTCTGTTGCTCTTCTTAAATGCGGATTATACTGTCTTTGAAAAGTCTATAGTATACTTCATTTGTTTGATAGTATTGAGAACCACAACAAAGAAAGACATAATCGAATTCCTTTTTCTGAAAGATGTGTGCTATCTTAATTTTTTTCTCACTGGGTAAAATTTGGTAAAAATGTTTATTTTTAGTTGGTGTTACTTGACATCTCTACTCTGAACTTTAACATGTTGCAATGGTAATATAAAATTGCACTGTTTGGGAGAACTTCGCCATAGTACATGAAAAAAATAGAAGGCTAGTGCAGATCATTGCTCTTATAATTGCAGAATGAAACCTAACATGGTGAAGTGCTCCCATAGCGCAAATCACCTGTTAAATTACTTACATTAGAGAACAGCATATCAAAACTTTTAAATGCTAAACAATTTTGTTTTTATCCAAGTTTCTTTTCTATTCAAACGGAATGAACTTGTATCTTTGATGCACTGTATATCGAATCCAAGCATTGGACTTTGCTGAGCATGATAAGGAGTATTCTATTGCAAAGGTAATTAGTTGAGGGGCTGTTGTAATTGTACTAATGGTAATGGATGCACTATTGACAGTGGGGTGGATCGTTTCAAGAGACAATTCGCTCATCTCGAAGAAAGTGCTGCTAAGGGTGAGAAGACTAGCCCACAGCTGCGGCAGCATGCTTCCTTACCAAGGCAATACTTCTGCCAATATTCTGAAGGACTTGAAAAGATGATTCAGTGGTCTTTAGTTTTACTGTATGATCGTGAGTTAAGTGTGCATATCCTATGGGGTGGGTAGGAGTAGGAGTTGTTTCTCTTTTGTTGGGATGTAAATCAAAAGTTCAAAGGGTGCAAGTTGTTTATCTTGTATTGATACCAACGTAGAATTACTGGCTGTGAATTTCTCTAGTACTAATAGTTCTTGCATCCTGTCGCAGGGAAAGAGTAAATGACAGTGGCGACGACCTTGAGAAGCCAAGTGCAGATTACTGCATAAGATTGCATGTATGTGAGCCACTCTCAAGTGCTCGTAACTTTCTGAAGAGCGAAAGCATCAGTGCTTCCCAGTGTGTGGTCATCAAACAAAAGCGAGAGAAAGATGTAAGTGCAATAACAATATCCTATAATATACCAATTGATTCAAGTTGGTCTATCAAGATGACCCTGCTGTCACCTGGTAATTACTAATTTTCAACCAATACAAATGTGAAAGAGAAACTAAAAGGTGTCAGTCAGGTATAATAGAGTGGAACTCAAAAAGCTAATGTTGATTGTTAGATAGAGTACACTTTACTTCCCTGATTACCTTATTATATGAAAATACTGGGGTGTGGATTTTTACTCCTATTGCCAAGCATAACCAGCGAGTTATTATCAAAATCAGCAATGCTGATTGGTTCCAACAATAACAAAAGAGAGACGCAGGCAGGAGAAGTTGATACTGACTCCACCATTTAAAGGGTCCTCTTCTATTATATACTCGTAACAGATTTTGTGTACAGATCTGCTGACTGCTGTTATGTTACTACTGGTTGCCTTTCCTGTGCTTTCATTTTCGCATGACATTGTTCTGGACTTCTGGCCGAACAACCTACTCCACATGATCTACGAGCTACGACTCCACAAGGGTCCAACGGCTCCTAGGTTTCAGAACCATGATGCTTGTTCCAGAATCTTGTTGTTACTCATCGAATGCACTGAAGTTACATACATTATAAGTTGATATCTTGACTGAATGAATTATTATTGACATGCTAAATGGTGTATTAAATACGTACTTTTCAGGAGGAATCTATATCTGAGTATGTGAACGATCCAGTTGATGGTGTGCCACAGAGGATTGCTCAACTCAAAACCTGACAGCCTTAAGGTACATACCAGCAAGACTGATCTGTGCACATCGACCTGGCCATAGGGGGGACTTGGGAAGGCTGATTCTACGATCTTTGAGATTCAGTAGCCACAATCGTTTTTTGATAATTGTAGTGCATTGTGTTGTATCCCCCCTTCATCTTTCTATCATGGAGCTAGATATATTTGACTCCAGCTCCAGATTTTTGTCAGATGGAATTCCTATTCACCCATGATCTGATTAGCTAGCTAAGTATAGGATAGCCAGTAATTAATCGTAGCATATACAATGTGTTCCGACACACTTTTCTAACAAATATTGACATATTGTCATGAATTTATGAGACTATCCTGATTTCCGTTCCCTACCCCTGCCATTATCTTTTTTTTTCTCGAACACGCAGGAGAGCTATGTATCATTATATTAAGCAGAAGAAAATGGGGGCAAGAACCCATACAAGAAACCTTACACACACAAAACACAAACCACTGGGATCCTAAACAAACAGTCGCGCCCTTAACAAGAGTTGGAGACGACCAGCTACCACACTCAATACACAAACAGCCCCTGGGCAAGGAGATAATTTATGCCTCTCGCCCCAGCAAAACCCCCAAAAAAGAAGCCCCTCACTAGCAAGCAATAGTGCTCTAGCTAGGTTAGGAGGTTCACCGTAAAAAACACAGCGATTACGAAGATTCCATAATGTCCAAGCCCCTAAGATGATGATGGAATTGAAACCCTTTCTTAAATGATCGTCCAACTCGGCGCAGAAGGAAAAAACAAAATTCTTGTGCAAAGCATGTTGACAGCAAGTGGTTAATATACTTTCCTCTTGGTCACAAAGGGGCCAACAGGAAGGGTGAGGGAGCCTCCTTCGTGCCAACGATCAATCGTCCCAACACCTTTCGCGGATCACTAGCCACATGAAAAAAAAGACATTTCCCATGCGCCCAAGTTTTCTAAATCCTCTCATAGGCAGATTTTGCTGAATAATACCCATCACCAAAGAACCTCCAAACATGAGCGTCTTCCACCTTTGGTTGTAGTATTACTTCTAAGATGATATCCCAAAGGGCAAAATATTAAGTGAAAAATGCAACAGAGAAGGCGCCCTGAATATCCCTGAACCCAGGTAAGGTTAGTTAAAGCTTCCAGAACTGTTCTCTTGTTTCTTTTCCTTTTGGAAACTAATGCCAAGACTTGAGGGGCAAGATCAGCCATACTCTGGACGTAAATCCACCCGTCAGTCTAAAACAAAGTTGCAGCCTCAATACCAATCTCTGAAACCACTGCAATAGAGAAGAAAGCTTGGACACACTTATGGACCCCTGCCATTATCGGCACAGAATTATGAGAACATACTCCCTCTGTTCAATCAATTCCTAGAGCCAAATTTTGTCCACGAAAGAATCAATCTCTAGAGCGGATGCCAATTTATTCCTCCTCGAAGTCTTGGTCGCATTAAATTATAGCCCCGAATTCTTCAATCCCCTTCCAATTTTAGTGTTGGACTACGTACAACAGCATTTAATTGTATTGGAATACTCAAGTGCTCTCGGTAGTTGTTGAGATATTGATGTCCAACCAGGAGTAATAGTCTTTTTTTCTTGTTTACTAATCTGTAAAGTTTTAGGAATTGATTCTTTCAAGGACAGAGGAAGTACAAAAATCATCTAATGTATACCTATTTTTGTGTCTTGGAAACGTAATATGGTGACTTCGCTGATGAACGACGCAGGGAGTGTGGAGCACACATGTTTGCAATGCCGGTTGCCTGCAAAGTGTCATCATCATGACCAGTGGGAACACATGCCCTCGATACGCATGCATGTTCCATCCTAGGCCATGAAAGCCTGCATTCATGCAACACCTGTGCCCTTTTTGACCAATGAGGAGCGTGACTAGCTGTAGAAGACTGGCCAGCAGCTTGAGCATATTGGGGATTCTGCATTCCGGGAAGAAGCTTATATTGTACTACCTTAAATTCAAATCATAGTTCGATTTAACTTTGCCATAAGTACAAAATCCATAATTTTAACTTTAACTGAAGTTATATAAAAAATATTAACTTTTTTTATACAAAATAAGTACCGTTAAATTAGTTATAAAATATATTTTATAATAAATTTATTTAGAGACATAAATGTTAATATTATTTACTATAAATTTGATCAAACTTGAGATATTTTAATCGGTATGGATCCATTAATTGCATTATTTTATGAACGAGTGAGTATCACCCAAAACCATCTCAATTGAAAAATATATGTACCTTACTCAAAGACCAAAATAAATTATTTAACTCTAGATTGACACGTGGGCCTAAAGAGATAAGTGCATTGGCTTGGTCCCATGTAATCCAGACAAGGTTGCACACGTTCAGCAACCATTTCAGCGATTTACTGGGACCCGCAGGTGGCTCGAGCACTGAGCACATGATACGGCTAGACCTGAGATCAACATGATGCTCTCGCTAATGGACAATGTTTCTGAGTTGTCACCAAATTTGTGCCTATCATAGAATTTGGCACTCCTCATTCAGTAGCGTGTTGAAAAAGATTTTCCGTCACATCAAATTTCGATCGGCATGCAGCATATATGTATCTTTTTGACTGGAGTATTAAATGTTGATTAGGTAGCTCAGGTGGTCAAAGGACCCAAAAATCAGATTAATTAGGGGTACCGCACATTGCACAGTGTTTACGAGTTGCAAATGCAAAAGATATATGCACCTCCTTTGAACATTTCCTCTTGTGCCTAATTAGTCAATGGATTAAAACAATTGTTACCAACATCCGGCAAAAAAAAACACTATAGTATAGCTATAATACCATGTCCGCGTTTTCCTGTCCTACAAAAAAAGCGGAGAATCCGAGAGAGCCGCAAGAACTCCAAAACATGGCTGCCAACTTGTCGACCTGATACAATGATCAACATGTGCTCCTACGAGTTTTGCTACGTGCTCTCCTTGCGCTGATGGACAATGATTTCTGAAGGTACATCTAGGCACCTAGCCACTCCGTTGTGCCTATCATAGAACTTGAAGGCGTGCACGTCCTCAAATTCAGTAGCGTGTTGAAAAACACATGAAGCAGGGGGGAGAGAGAGAGCAGCGAGCTGGGTACACCACCAGCTGCATGCCATCGATCGATCGGCATGCAGCATGCACGTTGGCACGATCTTGCTTGCCATGTTTTCTCTCTCTCACTCACTCTTTTTGACTGGAAGCAGTGGCAAAAAGGTTGGGGATTGGGTAGCTCCAGGTGGTCAGAAGGACCCATGAATCAGAATATTAGGGGTACCGCACATTGCACAGTGTTTACGAGTGCTGCAAATGCAAAAGATATATGCACCTCCATTTGCCAACATTTCCTCTTGTGTCTTGTATACTAGTATGGGTCTATGGTAGAGTATAGAGAACGTTAAAAGTTCTTGAAAAAGACATCCGGCAAGGTTCATTTCTTCCCTTTTTCATTCAAAAATGCTGCCCATGCATATACCTGCGTATAATACCATGCTTCACCAAGCGTCCCCGACCCGTCCTACAAAAAGAGCATGCTCTTTCCGGAGAGAGAGAGAGAGAGATTTGCAAGCAAGACCGGCCGTCATCTCCACTGTTGACAACGAGAGGCTGCCAGACCGAACTCCTTAATTGTCGGCGCCGCCTCCTACGAAACGCTTCACACGTCGTCCAGTACATGTCGCCATTACACGACATCAATCTCCCTCCGGGTAAGTGATGCACATGCACGACAAGTCACGGGTAATGATGCTAAAAATTGCCCTAATCCTATCTATTATGGGAGAGGAGAGAGGGCCCGTACGTAACCGGTTACATCCATCCATCGGAGGAGGATGCGAGAGAAACAGTCGTCCGGCGTCCGGCCAGCCGGCCGGACGGCCGGGGCATTCACTCGAGTGGGGGCAAGCGCATGCATGCATGCAGACGCGCGCGGTGGTGGTGGTGGTGTACCCTCGCCCAGCAATCCAGCATGCCTCAGGGCCAGCCAGCAGCTGGCATGCATGCATTATTGTGCAAGCAGAAGCAGCAGTGAGAGAGCACTTCATGCAGAGGGACGACGAAAGCAACAGGCAGCATGGAAGCGAGGTCTCGTCACTCGCCAGGCGCGGCCTACACACATGCAGGCAGGTGCAGGGAGGAGAAGCACGCAGGCGCATGCAGGATGGTAATTGGAGAGAGAGAGCAGCGAGCTGGGTACGGGAGGCCGAGATGATGGTACGGGAGTCGTGGGCTGGGTACACGTACAGAAACCGCAAACAGCGGCTAGCGCGAGAACACATGCATGGACGGGCGCTGCTGCATCTGCACCTGCGTGCTGCGTGTGCCAGGCCCAGGAGGCGCCAGCAGCTAGCATTGCTGCAGGCGGAGCGCGACAGCGCCTGGGCGATCGGTGGAGTCGTGGAGAGCCGACCACGGCCAGAGCCACTGAGCCAGCACTACTTGTGCTAGCGTCATTGGTAGCTACGCTGGCGGCCGGTATAGGCTAGGCTCGCCTTTGCCGCGTGCATAGGTGCCGCGTGCGATGCCGATGGCCGATGCAATCCAAACCCACCCTGCTGGCGGGGTCCCACGTCAGGAGACCTAAACATAAAATAGATCTCCAATAAAAAAGTACATATAAGTCTCTGTATATTATAGACATTTTATTTACCACGGTGGGGACCTATACTTTATTTCACACTTTTCTCTCTTCAACGGTTTGTGTTTAAAATCTTTTAGCTCTCCGAATTCGGGGAGGAATCTAAGGTAATACTTTCCTCCGACTTTTGTCATCTACCTTTTATTGTAGCAAATTTGACCATCTGTTTTTTCTTCTAAAAAATCTTAGATACTTCAATGTATATAACACTAATGAAGTATGTTCAATAAAGAATCATATATGTGAAAACTTGATGTATCTAAAAAATCTTTTGCGGAAAAAAAACGTATGGTCAAAATTGCTACAGTAAAAGTTCGGTGACAATTAAATGAAAACGGAGGGAAGTA